CATAAATAGTTAGTTTTACGCGATTTTATTAAAAAAGAGCATAAAATTACTTTATTTCAATCATTGGTGAAAGGTTTTAACAATAAATTGCTTTTGTTTTTTTTTAATCTTTAAGCTTTGTGTTATTATTTTCATTTATTATTGACCAACTAAATGAATAGAATTTTATAAATTCAAAATGATAGCGTTTATTATCGCTGACTGTACATTTTTAACAAAATTGTGTATTTATTATGTGAGAATTAATGAGCTAATTAAAAAGTTAATACATCAATATAACTTCAGACATATAAATCATTTTTCTTTCTTAAATAACAATTTATAGCAGCATTAACATCAATATAATATATTTAAATCAAACATGAGCTTATTTTCTTTTGAGTTATATTAAATTAATTTTAAAGTTCCGTTTAAAAATCAGAAAACCTACTATTATTTCAATTAAGTTAGATCAACATATTTTTTTATTACTTAATATACATACACACATATTTCATGGTGATGAGATTTTATAGTAAATTATTAAAATACCGTTATTAAGTAATTAGTAAGTAATTAAAATTCAATTTGGAAACCAAATAGGAACCACGCGTTTAATATCACAGAAAAAGTCACTCATTTAAATAACAGTTACAACTGAAGAACTTTAGTCTAGACTAGCAAACAGTAATCCAAACCAATGAGTATTATATTTGCTAACATTTGTTTAATTGAGTGTTATAAGTGAGTTTGTTTGTTAAAATAACATGCCTCAACTAAGGATATTTTTCATCCAGAAAAAAGGTAGGTACAGTCACATATATAAATACGAGTATATGTGACTGTACCTACTGGATACTGGATTAAAAACTACATTTGGAAGATGGTGGAGACCATATCCCGTTCATTTAAAAGAAGCAATCGCATACAGGTAAAACAAGTAGTTTGAGGTATAAAAAATATAGACATAGATGTTATCTCTACATAGTGTTAAATTGGAATGTATTTCAACAAATTATCGAGTGAAATAATAGTAAAACTATATATTAGCGGATATAAATAAGACTATAAATCATTCTGTAACGTTTTTCACCTTAATCATTATAATTAATACGGCTGGTTTGGTAATAAAAAAGGCATTAGTTAGACACCAATTTGAAGATACCGTGCAACTGTTTATGTAACTTTAAGTTTAGGTGAAATAAAAAATATCTATCATGAATCACCAAGTGACAATAATGATAAACATCACACATTTGCATACAGTCTTATCCTAAACTAGACAGAATCTGTGCTATTGTAAGCAGACTGCTGTTAAACATACGTGAATATTTCTTATTACATACATATTATAGATAAATTACACCCAGACATAAAACAAATAGTCATGCTCATCACACAATTATTTGTCCGGGAATCAAACCCACGACCTCCGGTTTAGCAGTCAGTCCGTAACCTCAAGACCAACAGGTCAGTCAAGAAAGAATCTGACTAACTACGATTATCATCATAATTTGCCTGCTTTTCATGATTGTATTATGAGGTTAGAGAAATATTTGCACAGGATTTCTTCATATTTCTTTCTGCCTGACGCCTTCTTAAGAAAGGTGATCATTTGAAGTAACGTATAAGGATAGGGCGAGAAGGCTAGGAGGAATATAATACGGATGTAATAATAGCAGCTGTTCCCGGATCCCTCTTATTTCAGGCGAAGAGTGGCACACCGTGTGGTTTTAGTTGGTCCGATTCCGACACACCACCTCGCCGCAAACCCCGGCGGTGTGATCCACACGTAAAAAAAAGAATATCATAAGTCTTGGATGGGCAACGGGACTCAGACTGCAGAAGCTCAAAAATTCGTGGAATGGAGAGACTAGTGAGTACGATATATCTTATTATGATGGAATATATCCGTAATAAAGAGGAAAGAGTCATAATCGTTAAAAGGAAGGTTACAATGTCTAACCCGTGTAAATATTCGGTTAGAGAGCTCAGATTGCCTGGCTATGGTGAGTAAGGGATATTGCATACTTATCCTTGTTATATACTTCCAATTTGACTTCTATTATGTAACCCACTTACTATAATTGTAATTATAAATGGCGTCTAACATGCCTCTGCCCACACCTTGTATAAGCGTGAGCGTATGTACATAGGTGACTTTTTGTGTAAGGGATCAAGAGTATTATAAACATTATTGGTTATAAGATTCAAGCACAAAAATAGTAATGTAAACAGAATTAGGTCTATGTTCGTTATGTGAATTCTCAATGAACAATTAAAAAACCTAAAATCGTCACATTGAAAAACTTTCTTTCTGACACATCAAAACAAATATTTTTATAGGATTCTAGCGTAGCCCATATTTGTAACGCCGGAATGATTCACCATAATTATCATATTATAAATGGAGGTATGTGTCAGAAGACATAGTCATGGCACCGAGAAACTACCACTCTGTATTCCACAGAGCTCTTAAGAGTTTTAGAGTAGTCCAGTGTGATTTAAAATAAGGTTTAGATAAACACATTCATAATATAATAACTTTAGTTAAGGCCGACGTCATTTAAACAGGCTATGCAAAAACCTTAAATAACAATAAATTAATGTTTAAAGCACAGGAGGTATAGTGCCTTAAGTCATGACTTAAAAATTGAAATTTTACTGATCCGTCACATTTTAAAATAACTTATGTAAATATTTATAAGCTGGTTTTAATTAAAACTTAATTTAGGCCTTTAAGAAGAAAGAAACTATTTAATGCAAATAAATGTTAATTTCTATAAGTATTCTTTAAAACTTTTTAATTTTTATCGTGGCTCTTGTCTCTACTCGTACAATGTTACTTCTATCATAATCACAGCTCTTAATGTCCACTGCTGACATAGATATTTTTAAGACGTATTGTCAATGTTAGGACCTCTCCTAACATTGACAATACGTTTTAAAAATATTTAATCTTCTGTTACTAAGCGCAAAAATAGGGATTTAAAAACGTACATTCTAAAAATAATAGTTATTACATAGACACGTTAAATCAAAAGGATAAATTCAAAGAAAGTAACATAATACCACAATAGCATGATTAAAAACATGAGGTAATAATATTTCCTATTCGTGTTTTATTTACAATATTTTTTTTTAAAACCCCGAGGATCCGGATCCGCACTATAGGACTAGTGAAATACATTTACAGAGGGCTAGCGTTTATTTTAGGATTAAAATCGCTTAACCGCGGGACGTTTGTGTGATGACGAAGTAAGTAGTGCCATATTCATCCCGTGGGTGTAGTAAGAGCCGACTAAGGGAGAAAACTCTGCAGGACAACAACACTACAAAGATTAGGCAAACTAAATTATAAAAAAAATACATCATACCGTTTCGACCAGAGAGATTCATCCTTTAGTTGCTATTCACCGAGTGTGTAAAATTTTTGGAGACCCATCCTCCTCTAATTCCGGGAGCGGTAGGGGCACTCAAAAGGCACTAACGCACTTGTGCCTTTTGAGTTGAAGGTATCCATGGGCAGTAGTCATTTGCCATCAAGTCTGAGGAAGGTTCGACGGTGTTACAAGCTTTGTTTAATCCATCTCAATAAAATAAATATGTTCGTAAATATAATTGTGAAGTCAGTTCTAAATCTTGTCAGCTCTATGTCAGCTACTTGATTTTGACTTGTTCTTTAACTGTATCTATACATAATGTTGAGATACTTGGCACAAAAAACTAGTTCGTTATGACTTAGTAAGATATTATTATATTTTCAAAACAACTACTACTACGGCTCGCAGTTTTTCCAGTTTTTGGCGATGTTTTATATAAATTGGTCGCTTAAGGACTTATTTACCAAAAGCTCCGATAGGACCGAACAGCTCACATGTTTCTTTTGCAATTATTTCACATTTAAAGTATAATGTGTCGTATTTGAAATCGAATGCAGTAGTTATTGTATAATATTATCGATTACCTATTGTAGTTGCAGTCTCATTTCACAATCCCTTAGGCAAAATCATCGTCATCGTCGTCAATTTTTTTGCTCTTATTTGTAAATTGTAAACAATATATATATGTATATATATATATATATATATATATATATATATATATATAGAACTACGACTATTGGACAATCCTGATCTTCTTTGGTAGATATATTTTAGTGAAGAGACTTTAAAAATGCTTTATGTCAATGTTAATAACAAAATGTAGGTATGATATATAACACAATATACAAACAATCCTGCTTAAACAAAATTCCAATTTTTTTTTTATTTATTTGTATTATTTTGCTCTAAGTCTCCAATTGTTAAATTGTCCTTGTTAAATTCTGACACTTATTTGTATCTCACTTTGGCATAGTACATATATTAGAGGAAACAATAAATTTATTACCTATTCCTATTCAATCTCTATCATTCAAACTAACCTATTCATGCCCATAACTATCATCTTTTTTATTCTAATTGATCATAAGCGCCTAAATGAAACAATTCGTCGATCAATCAAATCGCTTTGATTAATGAGGTTCAATTACGATCATAGCAACCCGTTATTATAAAACTTCATTTATTACTTTCAATATCAGTCTAAGTCTAATAAAAAGGCACAAGATAAAGAGATAACTTTCACAAACTGTGTCATTAAACACGTATTTTATCATAAACACGGTGTATGATATTTTGTTTTAAATATTTTCAAAAAAATATATAGTTTTTGCCGTTTAACAAAAACTACAGTTATAATTCAGACAAACTATCAAACCTGAGGCAGAAAAAAGTAATTGCTGACACAATTGCCTAGCTTTGATACCTCCCTGTATGATTACGGACCAAATAGTTTTAACTGATGATCAAAACCGCGTTCATAAAATAATGGGTGAGAAATTATTTAAAAACAGATCTGTCGTTGTAGCTATATTAAGAACCGTTTCTTATGCTATAAAGTTGAAAACTTGTAATTTCACGGTGAGGATATAAAGTGAGAGATCGATGTTAGCCATGCATTTCTGTTTGGTCTACAACATGAATAAGATTGGTCGTGTTTTTGTTTTTTACATCTTAATTTCAACTACGACGGGAGCAGGTATAGTGTTTGAATATTTTCTCTTTTATTGGCTTAAAATTATGATGTGTATGTTTAATACTGGTTTCATAACGGAACTTTTGACGACAATTTCGATAAATAAAATTATTATGAAAGCTCATTAAAATAATTATGTTGAATAAATGTATTTTAATCTTCAAAGTTTTAGGTTTTTAATCTGTATATACATGTATTTTAAATAAATAAAATTTGCTTCCAGTTGAGTTCATTTCGAAGTTTAAAACGAGTACGACAACAACAAAATGGAAGGAACCAACAACTACACCCAGATGGAAGGAACTCCCAACTAAATACGCATTTAAGGCACCTTCAACAACCATCAATAAAACAGAAGTAATTAGTAAGAATAAATTAAATACAACAACTTTAAACAAAGAATCTTCAACAACTAGCAGTTATAAAGAACCATCAACAACAACAAAATGGAAACAACCACGTACAACAACAAGATGGCAACAGACAACGGCTTCTAAAGCGTCACCTTCCTCTAGATCAGTTTCACAAGCTCATACCAATAATGAAATGGTGGCCGTTGCAAGCTTTTCAGGAATTGACTCCAGGAACGGAAGGGTATCTTCTATGAATGGTATCAAAATTTTCCCTTCGGCAGACTCATCCATGATCAAAACAGATGACAGAGGAAATTTTATCGTGCAGTCAGGCAATGGTAAAATGCCAATGCCGATTACGATCACAAAACAAGGAGACGGAGTGTCAGGAACCATTCGAATTCTTCCAGGCTCTGTCTCAGTCTCATCTTCAGCATCTTCACCATCTAAGTCTGGTCCAGTTTCAGCAGTCGCTAGCTATGATCCATGGGCAGCTCCAATTATGAAAGATTTTTACTTTCCACCATTTCCAACATTCCCTACAATACCAGATCAGATATTCGACGCAAGGTTCCCGGATACATCATTTCCCACGAAGATGCTAGACCCTTTTCCATTTGTGAGGATCTCAGAACCGACGTTTGAAACTCGAATACAGGACCCATGGTTTGATAAGAACAAATACAAGCACTCACAGCCTAAACAAAACATGTTTACTTCTAACTGGTTTTACCCGAGTTTCAATCCATTCTTTAACTACTGGTGATGTCTTCGGAATAAATGATTCAAACCTTAGTCTTCTTTAATTGACTTTTAGAACCTATTTTTACTGACGTAAGATCTTCTGAGGAAAGAACGAAATAAGGCTTACTTTGACGTATCATTTGACTTGCATCTCAAGTCTCTTTTTAGTCTTTTTAGTAGTTTAGAGAAAATGAAATGTATGTGACAGAGCACTAGACCTACTTACTTTTTACCGTAGCTGTTATATTACCAGATCTGTAATGATAACATTTAGTAAACCAGGCTTACGATAAAAAATAAAAAGAGAATAAAAATATCACATTAGCCTCGGTGACAAAGAATGGTAATTCACAATAAACCCAAATGGATGTATTCTATAAGGGGATTGAATTAATGAAAGCTATATTACTAATCACTTAATTGGTCAGTCTACATAAAGATTAAAATAACGTTACTATCATCACACTAGTGACTAATTTGGACGTAACTCACTCTCACCTTTCCAGTTTCTTACAAATTCTCACCTCACAAATTAGCATTTGTTTCATAATATAACATGTTCTAATGTCATGGTTACAGTGATTTGCTCTGTTCAAAATACTAAACCATCTTTTAAAGCCCTTGAAGACCGAACAGCTTTACACAGTACAAGTTGTATTTAAGATTGTAAGCAAAAGACATTCCGGATATTATATACATATTAGATAAGCATTTGTGTTAATAATATCACCATTTCATATATTCATACGCCCATTACGTAAACGGAGATCCCTTAGTCGTAAGGAACAGTATCTCACTTGTTTATATTCTTACGAACTTATTGCGATTTCTCCAATGTCTACAAACCTTCCTAACGATCACAGGTAATGAAAGGTTTTTTCTCTGATAATTAATTAATTCATTATTATAATTTGGGCTTTTAGAAAGTACGAGTCTACTTCTGTTTAAATTTATATAAATGGTGATCACCTTAAAAAGAATGGACTAACGTTACTAATCTTAATTGATGTCACCAGTATTCGATGTTATCAGAGGTCAATGGTGCTCACCTACTCTTTCATTGTTAAAAAACCGTTAGTTGCGACCAAAACCGTCAAGGCAAAACTGAGTAGGTAGAAACTTCGTTGCCTCTATTGACAATTATTTAAAAAGATGACAATTGTTTTAAAATATCTTTTAATTATTATTTTTCCTTTTTAGAGACACATACGATAGCTAGTATCGTATGTGTCTCTCAAAAGGAATAAATTTACCCGGTTTTGCAACAATTTCATTGATGCTCGGCCGAATATATAGCCTTCCTTGATAAATGGCTATCCCACACTAAAATAATTTTTAAATTTCCAACAGTAGTTCCTGTGATTAAAGCGTACAAACAAACAAACTAGTCAGCTTTATAATATTAGTACAGATTTAAATATTTTAAGTACTCGCTACGTGATGCAGAAAACAGCGCCTTCGACGACTTAAATTTATTTAAAATAAGGCGTTTCTGATCTAGATTACAGTTCCATAAAAGGATCATTGCCCCCACGTGCAATCGCAAAATTCAATCCTACAATGCGAGATTTATAATATGCAGGCAAAATGATAAGTCCGTTGACCGCTCTATTGACTATCATCGGGTTTTATATTTATTTAATTACCTAAATTAAAGAATAAAATTTAAGCCTGTTACCAAATATAATATCGACTGGTATATATAACGAACGCACGTAAAGTGACCTTGACTAACAGTGAATTCGTGTTTAATAATAGTAAGTAACTTTATGTATACATAATGTATGTCTTGTCCGTGTCGTGGCGGATTAAGAATACGGAATGTCACTACCCCAATGCATCCTGCGGGTGTCGTAAGAGCTGACTAAGGTCGCAATACAACGCAATACACCAGCACTGCAAAAAGAAGGAAAACTTGACACAAACCCTTTTTTTTTTTTTTTTTTTTTTTTTTTTAACGTGTGGAAATCCCCTCGGACCGTCACCCCTCCGGGGTTTGCGGCGGGGTGGTGTGTCGGACTCGGACCGACTAAAACCACACGGTGTGCTACTCTGCGCCTGTAACAGGAGGGATCCGGGAACAGCTGTTGTTAAGACATCCGGACCCCTCCTAGCGCCATCCCGCTCCTGGTGCGGGCTCCGTCTCAGTGTTGTTCCTCTCTTTAGGCGACGTCCGGCACACGCGGACGCCGCCCCCTCGCGGCTGGCCAACTAATGCGGGTGGAGGGGAAACCCACCCCGTCCACCCGCGGCCACACTCAGGGCGGCATGAGGCTGTGATAGCCGGGCCTCCGCCGCCCGGTTCGCCGGCGGCGGATCGGGTCCGAGTGGAGGTCGTCCTCCCGGGGCCTCTCCGCCGCCTCCTTCCGCGAGATTACTACCTCGCAGAAGGTTGCGACCGCGGTAAAACAACTGTCGCTACCGGCCATGGAGCGTACTACGGCCGGTAGCGAGAGATCCACTCCGATGACTGCAGTGAGGGCCCGGCGCTGCGCCGCCCATGCGGGGCAGACCGCCAGCGTGTGCTGGGCCGAGTCCTCACTGCAGTCGCAGTGGTGGCAGGCGGGACTCAGTTCCCTCCTAGCGACCGTGTGCAGGTACTTTCCGAAGCAGGTACTTTGCCCGGAAAGCACCTGCGTCAGCCGGAAGGAAAGGGTCCCGTGCTGCCGCCCTGCCCACTCGGCGATGACCGGATGGAGAGCCTCTACGGCGGCGAAGCCAGCGCGTGGAGTCTCCAGCCGGAACGACCAACGAGCCATCGTGGCTCGGCGAGCGGCTTCGCGCCACTCGCGCACATCCTCGGGCGGAGGGCGAAATCCGCTCTCCGCCCGGGAGTCAGCCACTCGCCGATAAACTTCGGCGAGCACTTCCGCCTCCAAATCCCACGGGGGAGTTCCGGCCAACGCGCATGCCACCTCCGTAGAAACGGTGCGGTAACCGCGTATGGCTCTGACCGCCATTACCCTCTGAGGGCGCCAGAGGCGTACCCTATTCTGGGCGGTCAGAGCCGCCGCCCACACCGGTGCACCGTACAGCGCCATTGACCGGACAACCCCCGTGTACAGCCGTCTTGTCGCGACGCTGGGTCCACCCATATTGGGCAAGAGTCGCCCTAGGGCAGACGCAGCGCCGACCAGCTTTGGAGCAAGCTGTCGGAAGTGCTCGTCGAAGAGCCACCTCCCGTCGAGGATCAGGCCCAGATATTTCATCTGGGCCCGAACCGGTACGAGGACCGAGTTGACCACGATTGAGGCGCCAGGGGGTGGACCACGACGGGGCCCATGAAATAACAGGGCCTCCGTCTTATCTAGGGCCACCCGTAAGCCCAGCGCCTCAATGCGCCCGACCACCAGGGAGACTCCCCCTGTGGCCAGGCGCGCCGCCTCTTGGAAGTTTGTCCCCCGGGCTGTAACCAGTGTATCGTCTGCGTAACAGATTACACCCAGCCCGGGGGGGAAATCGGCGCGAAGGGCCCAGTCGTACCCTATGTTCCACAAGAGGGGTCCAAGAACAGACCCCTGTGGAACACCGCACGACATGGGCCGACACCTCAAATTACCTTCTCGGTCCTCGTACACGACGGTACGCTCCTCTAAATAGTCTGCCACTAGCCGCCTCAGGTACTTTGGCACCCCATGATAGTGGAGTGCTTCCCTGATGCAGCTGAATGGCAGACTATTGACTATTCACTTCACTTTTGTGCGTTAAGGACAGTGGACGTGTCAATTGTCTGTGCTGTCGAAATTCTGTGATTGGTCGATTGTAGTTAGATTCAATTCCTTGTCTCACATTACCTGTTCTTACCTGAGGGATCCTCCCACTGGGTGGTCCTAGAGCGAGATATAAATAATACTACGGTTGACTCCTCAAAGTGTATTCGTAAAAGTGTTGTGTGAGTGGGATTTGATCCGGCCCCCAACAGCGACAGTGGCGGGGACTCTCGCCGCTAACACACGGCGCCACCGGGACAGTTACTGCAGATCGTGAAATACCTATGCGCTACGGGAAGCTTACGTCGTCGTTGCTACGGAAGAATCCTCGCGCCGCTACGGGCCTTCTACTAAAACGGTATATGCTACGCCTCACATACATAAATTTGCTAAACTAATTATCTGCATTTCCAGTGCTATTAATTTATAATATACTATATTATAAAGCAATAAAATAAAAAATAGCTTCTATTGATTTGAAATATGGCAGGAGTACAGCGCACACCACCGAGTACGTTGAGACCTAAGATTGGTAGTATTTGCCAGGCGGAATCACAATCTGAACCCGATATCTCCGCAGCCATAAGAGTAAGCGACTCTGTTAAAGTTAATAGAACTAAACGTGCCCGCAAAGATAACTCGCCGCAGAGTGTTTCAGTTGAAACAAGCTCGTTTGACCTACATGATACTCTTGTTAATTGGAAGAAGGAGCAGGATAGTGGTATTGCTAAACAATTGGCCGAACAAACAGCCTTAATATCTAAGCTATCCTTGGATATAGGAGACATCAAAACCCAAAACAACCAAATTAAAGCATCCAATGCAGAAATCAGTAAGACAAACACGGAAATCACTCAGTCCATCAGCTTCATTAATAAGCAGTTTGAAGAATTAAAAACTGAGGTGGAAATTCTGAGAGAAGAGAGACGCGAACAGCAAAAATATATCGAACATTTAGAGTATAGAATACTTGACCTTCAGCTGAAATCGAGATCTTCTGGCATAGAACTGCGTAACATCCCGCAAGAAAGCACAGAAACTAACACCAGTCTCAAAAAGACGGTATGTAACATTGGTGAGGCCATTGGCGTACCTATAACAGCAACAGAGCTTCGTGATGTATATCGCCCCCAAGGAAAATCTACCTCAACTGCACCACGTCCAATAATTGCTGAATTCATTACCGTGCAAGCCAAACAGTCATTTATATCATCTGTGCGAGCGTACAACAAAGGAAGGGGGAAGGAAGAAAAATTGAAAACCGCCATCCTGGGAATGTCTGGTGACATTCGACCTGTATATATATCGGAGT